ACCCTAAACCCTAATCCCTAAATAACTAAATCGATTCCCCGGCAAAAATAAAAATTAAAAAAAATCAAATCCTAAACCTTAAACCATTGCCCCTAAGACTCAAACCCTTTTCTCAAAACCTAGGTCACTAAAGCCAAGACAAGCTCTAAACCTCTTATCCAAAGCCCGGGTGCAGAACTTGTTGTTACAATTTACACAGTCAATAACCACTAAATGCAAAATCAATAAAGCAAAATGATTATTAATAGTTATACTATTTTTTTCATTAAAAAAAAACCATTAACAGAATAGGTTAATATTGCATTCGATCAATTTTAAACATAAGACAAATTAAGCAGTTCATTGGGGATTTGATATTCTTAATGTGTAATCTAAGATCTCTTGAATCATATACCCGTAAAAGTTCCATTGAAAGTCTAATAGCTTTAACAAAAATTCAAAACTTTAATTTTTCAACTTCTCAACAACCTCATTAAAAATTTATATTGTCAAAAACTCACTAGATTTCTCCCATTTTCTCACTATAATTACATAAAGTTAGTACATTTATTTCAATTAGAACAACCAAATAATGTTTCTAATTTTAATTTTCCTTATTAATATGTTAAAAATCTTTTTAATAAAGGTAGCTGGAATAGCTCAGTTGGCTAGAGCGTGTGGTTGTTAACCACAAGGTCGGAGGTTTAAGCCCTCTTTTTAGCGACGAATTTGAAGAATTTTTAATAACTATGATTATATTCCGTATGGAAATGCACATACATAAAAACTACTATAATGGGCTCAGTTTTCAAAACGTGACAAAAAAACATGGCTTTCTAAGAGGAAAAGGCAGGTAACCAGAATTAATTTAGGGTGACATTGAACTTATCAATATCAAATTTTCGTTCATTAATCAACACCGAAGTCATCAAATTTTTCTAGTTCATGTTTTTTGCAGAATTTATGCTAAGCAAATTATTTTTACTATTTTTTTTATCACATGTTCTTATATTATTAATATTAATATTATTATTATTATTATTATTATTGTTGTTGTTGTTGTTGTTTTTGTTGTTCTTGTTATTGTTATTATTATTATTATTATTATTATTATTATTATTATTATTATTATTTTAAAATTTTTGTATTGGTAACTTGTTTTTGTTATCAATTTTTTTTTTACCTACGTTGTAATTTATAAATCTACAACACACACACACACACACACACACACAAACACTAATAAAAGCCAATAAAGTTAGGCCTTTAAAGCAAACTAAAAAACCTAAGTCAAATTGTTTGATTAAATGATTGAAGCAAATTTAGGTTGAGTTTTTTTTTTTCTTTTGTTTCGTTTAATTAATTTTCTTCTAATTATACACAACAAAATTCAATATATCAATTACGCTTTTTGCATTATTGCGAACCAGCTAAATTCTAAAATACACAAAATCCCATCATCAAAACCCTAAACCCTAATCCCTAAATAACTAAATCGATCCCCGGCAAAAATAAAAATTAAAAAAAATCAAATCCTAAACCTTAAACCATTGCCCCTAAGACTCAAACCCTTTTCTCAAAACCTAGGTCACTAAAGCCAAGACAAGCTCTAAACCTCTTATCCAAAGCCCGGGTGCAGAACTTGTTGTTACAATTTACAAAGTCAATAACCACTAAATGCAAAATTAATAAAGCAAAATGATTATTAATAGTTATACTATTTTTTTCATTAAAAAAAAAAACCATTAACAGAATAGGTTAATATTGCATTCGATCAATTTTAAACAAAAGACAAATTAAGCAGTTCATTGGGGATTTGATATTCTTAATGTGTAATCTAAGATCTCTTGAATCATATACGCGTAAAAGTTCCATTGAAAGTCTAATAGCTTTAACAAAAATTCAAAACTTTAATTTTTCAACTTCTCAACAACCTCATTAAAAATTTATATTGTCAAAAACTCACTAGATTTCTCCCATTTTCTCACTATAATTACATAAAGTTAGTACATTTATTTCAATTAGAACAACCAAATAATGTTTCTAATTTTAATTTTCCTTATTAATATGTTAAAAATCTTTTTAATAAAGGTAGCTGGAATAGCTCAGTTGGCTAGAGCGTGTGGTTGTTAACCACAAGGTCGGAGGTTTAAGCCCTCTTTTTAGCGACGAATTTGAAGAATTTTTAATAACTATGATTATATTCCGTATGGAAATGCACATACATAAAAACTACTATAATGGGCTCAGTTTTCAAAACGTGACAAAAAAACATGGCTTTCTAAGAGGAAAAGGCAGGTAACCAGAATTAATTTAGGGTGACATTGAACTTATCAATATCAAATTTTCGTTCATTAATCAACACCGAAGTCATCAAATTTTTCTAGTTCATGTTTTTTGCAGAATTTATGCTAAGCAAATTATTTTTACTATTTTTTTTATCACATGTTCTTATATTATTAATATTAATATTATTATTATTATTATTATTATTGTTGTTGTTGTTTTTGTTGTTCTTGTTATTGTTATTATTATTATTATTATTATTATTATTATTATTATTATTTTAAAATTTTTGTATTGGTAACTTGTTTTTGTTATCAATTTTTTTTTTACCTACGTTGTAATTTATAAATCTACAACACACACACACACACACACACACACACAAACACTAATAAAAGCCAATAAAGTTAGGCCTTTAAAGCAAACTAAAAAACCTAAGTCAAATTGTTTGATTAAATGATTGAAGCAAATTTAGGTTGAGTTTTTTTTTTTCTTTTGTTTCGTTTAATTAATTTTCTTCTAATTATACACAACAAAATTCAATATATCAATTACGCTTTTTGCATTATTGCGAACCAGCTAAATTCTAAAATACACAAAATCCCATCATCAAAACCCTAAACCCTAATCCCTAAATAACTAAATCGATCCCCGGCAAAAATAAAAATTAAAAAAAATCAAATCCTAAACCTTAAACCATTGCCCCTAAGACTCAAACCCTTTTCTCAAAACCTAGGTCACTAAAGCCAAGACAAGCTCTAAACCTCTTATCCAAAGCCCGGGTGCAGAACTTGTTGTTACAATTTACAAAGTCAATAACCACTAAATGCAAAATTAATAAAGCAAAATGATTATTAATAGTTATACTATTTTTTTCATTAAAAAAAAAAACCATTAACAGAATAGGTTAATATTGCATTCGATCAATTTTAAACAAAAGACAAATTAAGCAGTTCATTGGGGATTTGATATTCTTAATGTGTAATCTAAGATCTCTTGAATCATATACGCGTAAAAGTTCCATTGAAAGTCTAATAGCTTTAACAAAAATTCAAAACTTTAATTTTTCAACTTCTCAACAACCTCATTAAAAATTTATATTGTCAAAAACTCACTAGATTTCTCCCATTTTCTCACTATAATTACATAAAGTTAGTACATTTATTTCAATTAGAACAACCAAATAATGTTTCTAATTTTAATTTTCCTTATTAATATGTTAAAAATCTTTTTAATAAAGGTAGCTGGAATAGCTCAGTTGGCTAGAGCGTGTGGCTGTTAACCACAAGGTCGGAGGTTCAAGCCCTCCTTCTAGTGTTGAATTTGAAGAATTTAATAACTATGATTATATATTCCGTATGGAAATGCACATACATAAAAACTACTATAATGGGCACAATTTTCAAAACGAGACAAAAAAACATGGCTTTCTATGAGGAAAAGGCAGGTAACCAGAATTAATTTAGGGTGACATTGAACTTATCAATTACCAATTTTCGTTCATTAATCAGCACCAAAGTCATATCCAAAATTTTTTTGCAGAATTTATGCTAAGCAAATTATTTTTACTATTTTTTTATCACATGTTTGTATATAATAATAATAATTATTATTATTATTATTATTATTATTATTATTATTATTATTATTATTATTATTATTATTATTATTATTATTGTTATTGTTGTTGTTGTTGTTGTTGTCGTTGTTGTTGTTATTCTTGTTGTTGTTATTATTATTATTATTATTATTATTATTATTATTATTATTGTTGTTGTTGTTGTTGTTGTTGTTCTTGTTGTTGTTTTTATTATTATTATTATTATTATTATTATTATTATTATTATTATTATTATTATTATTGTTGTTGTTGTTGTTGTTGTTGTTATTTTAAAAGTTTTGTATTGGTAACTTGTTTTTGTTATCTAATTTTTTTTACCTACGTTGTAATTGATAAATCTACAACACACACACACACACACACACACACACACACACACACACACACACACACACACACACACACACACACACACACACACACACACACACACACACAAACACTAATAAAAGCCAATAAAGTTAGGCCTTTAAAGCAAACTAAAAAACCTCAGTCAAATTGTTTGATTAAATGATTGAAGCAAATTTATGTTCAGTTTTTTTTTCTTTTTTTTCGTTTAATTAATTTTCTTCTAATTATTTACAACAAAATTCAATATATCAATTATGTTTTTTGCATTATTGCGAACCAGCTAAATTCTAAAATACACAAAATCCTATCATCAAAACCCTAAACCCTAATCCCTAAATAACTAAATCGATCCCCGGCAAAAATAAAAATTAAAAAAAAAAATCAAATCCTAAACCTTAAACCATTACCCCTAAGATTCAAACCCTTTTCTCAAAACCTAGGTCACTAAAGCCAAGACAAGCTCTAAACCTCTTATCCAAAGCCCGGGTGCAGAACTTGTTGTTACAATTTACACAGTCAATAACCACTAAATGCGCAATCAATAAAGCAAAATGATTATTAATAGTTATACTATTTTTTTCATTAAAAAAAACCATTAACGGAATAGGTTGATGAAGTTTATAATATATTGATTATCCAAAAGCAAGGGAATACAACGCTATTTATACAGAAGAGGTTAACAAGGAAATAGATAACCACTCCTTATTAGTCTCTAACTACACATAAAAGTCTAACCAAAAACTAACTGCCTAATACTCCCCCCTCAAGCTGAAGCGGGACACGGGACGACGCCAAGCTTGCACCGTAGATCACCAAAGCGAGCTGAGGAGAGAGGCTTAGTGAAGATGTCGGCGAGCTGGTCATTGGTGGAGACGAAGTTCACTTTTAGAGCTCCAGTTGACACTTTATCCCGCACGAAGTGATAATCGACTTCAACGTGCTTTGTCCAGGCATGAAACACCGGATTAGCACACAGGTATGTCGCACCTAAGTTGTCGCACCAGAGTACCGGGATAGTCGGGGAAAGCAAACCAAGTTCGCATAGCAAGGACTGGACCTAGGTGACTTCGGCAGCAACGTTGGCGAGAGCCTTGTACTCGGCTTCGGTAGAAGAGCGTGCGACAGTCCGTTGCTTCCTAGACGTCCAAGAGACAAGATTCGGGCCTAGAAACACGGCGTAGCCAGCGGTGGATTTTCGATCCAGAGAACATCCCGCCCAATCGGAGTCAGAAAAGGCATGCACAACCGGAGAAGATGACTGTGTGAGACGAAGTCCCAGACTCTGCGTGCCTTGCACATAGCGCAACACCCGTTTGAGTGACGCCCAATTGTCCTGTGTTGGTGTATGCATGAATTGACACAGTCGATTCACAGAAAAAGCCAAATCCGGACGAGTGATTAGTAGATACATTAGGGACCCAACCAGACATCTATATGGGGTTGGATCATCGAGGGGTGGAGACCCCGCAGTAGGAGTTGAAGCAGCTAGCGCCATTGGAGTTGACAGCGGTTTGCAAGATTCCGTGCTGGCTTTGCGCAAGAGTTCGTTCATGTACCTTTGTTGTGAAAGCATCAGACCATTATCGCTGTAAGTCGCCTCGACACCTAAAAAGAACCGAGGCCGCCCCAAATCACGAATGCGAAAGGTAGATGACAGCTGGGCCATGACTGTTTCGACCATTGCTGAGTTGTTGCCTAGTAGAAGGATGTCATCCACGTAGACTAACACATATGCCCGGACCTGTCCAGAGTCAAAAATAAACAAAGAAACATCCATTTTGGATGGACGAAATCCAACCTGTAAGAGAAAATCGTGTAGTCTTTTAAACCACGCACGAGGGGCCTGTTTAAGCCCATACAGCGATCGTTGTAGCTTACAAACATGGTCAAGAAAATTTGGATTTGTGTAGCCGGGCGGTTGCCGCATATAAATGTCTTCGTCAATGTGCCCATTCAAAAATGCGTTGTGGACATCCAATTGACGCATAGCCCACTTATTCGATACGGCGAAAGCCAGTAGGAGCCGAATGGTGGTTGTTTCACCACCGGACTGTACGTTTCGGAGTAATCCTCACCGGGCACTTGGTTAAACCCCTTGGCCACGAGTCGGGCCTTGTAGCGGTCAATGGTGCCGTCGGATTTCCGCTTAATACAAAAAACCCATTTACTGCCTATTACATTTACATCTCGACGCGGGGGAACAAGCCGCCAGGTTTGGTTTTGTAATAAAGCATTGAACTCAGTGTCCATAGCCGCCCGCCAATGTGAGGACTTGACAGCTTGCGAGTGGCAAGTGGGCTCGTCATCATCTACGGAGGCCACCATCGCAGACGGGTGAGTTCCCGGATTTCGATGTTGCGCATGCGTTGACGTCCGTAGTTGCATAACATGCGTCCGAACAGTAAGCCGGACGCGGCGCCGCCTCCCTGACGTAGTGGATGAAGTGGTCGGCTGATAAGACGAGGAAGCCGCACCTGCTGTCGATGAGGAAGTCGGGAGGGGCGGCAATTGCGGCAGTTGTGGCTGACTTATGCCCGGTTCGGACACCAATGCGGGCTGAATTGGAACTGACGTGCGTAAGACCGGTGAAGACGCCCAAGGTGGTGTTGCTGCTTCGGTGTTCGGCCCAGTCTGAACAGTAGGGTGAGTTGCATAAGGAAACACCTCTTCGTCGAACCGCACATGCCTGGCAATGTAAATGTGGCCTGTTTACTTGTCCAAACACCTGTAGCCAAGACATGAATCTGGGTAACCTAGAAATATACATGAAGTAGATCGATAATCCATCTTGTGCCTATTGTACGGACGTAGGCACGGAAAACACTCGCACCCAAACACATGTAGCAAACTGTAATTAGGTGGCTTATGGTACAACTTGGAGTAGGGACTGACGTTTTGTGAAACAGTGGAGGGCAGACGATTTATTAGATGGACGGCAGACTCAAAGGCAAAAGGCCAATATTTTTGTAGTACGTGACTTTGGGCAAGAAGAGTTAACCCAGTCTCGACCACATGACGGTGTCGCCGCTCCACACGGCCATTTTGCTCGTGTGTATGCGGCGATGACTGTCTATGTAAAATCCCTACGGCGGTAAAGACCGTGTTCAACTTTTGGTATTCACCACCCATATCCGACTGAATGCACTTAATAGTGGTCGAAAAGGAATTTTCCACTAACGCACGAAATTTAGCAAATATTGAATAAATATCCGATTTGAACTTCATCGGATAATACCAAATAAACTGGGAAAAATCGTCCACAAAAAGGACAAAATACCTAAAACCATCTACAGAAGGTACCGGTGATGGTCCCCAAATATTTGTAAATACCAAATCCAGTACAGACTGACTCGAAGTCTCAATACGCGTGAGTGGGAAGCGCACAGACTTACCCATCTGACACGCGGTACATAAAGAATTTATTGACCGTAACGAACCACTAACAGGACAACTAGCAAGAACCTGACGCAGAGCTCGGGTATGAGGGTGCCCGAGCCTATTATGTGTTAGGAATAAATTGTAATAGTTTTGATGAGCCAAATTTGTATTTTTAGAACCCCCTATTTTATTTTGAGTCTAGTTGTCTATTAGCCTAAGTCCCAAGTCAAGCCATAAAAGTCTACGAATTCTTAGCAAAATATACTTATCCAGAATATTACTATTTGAGATTTATTTACCTTGGAAGACACCAAAGGATGAAGTGGTGAAGTGGATAAGGAACAAGGTGACTAAAGTTAGAGGTCATGGGTTCAAGACTCAATCTTTACATTTTTATGTAAGAGATAAAGAAGGGGACGACGAAGGGGCTGATGGGGACGACCAAGGGGCAGACTCGGATTAATCTACGAATTAATGTAAAATGCTACTAAAGGCATTCTGGGAATAAAGATTAAATCCATAAATATTAACCAATGAGTTAATATGGTGTAGTGGTACAAGCTTGGAAGACATATTTAATTGGGCTTGTGTTCAAATCTCATTGGAAGCATATCTTTTTTAAAGATGACACTTGTTGGGTGCATGCTACAATGTGGACACATGTCATGCTAAGTTGACTACAAGTTTGGAAGCTTGTGGACATGATAAGGAAGATGCACGTGAATTCTTCTACACATCTTCATTCTCATTTAAATATCTTGCTATGCATCTCAAATCATTTCAGAAGAAGAAATGGACGAAGATATAATTTTTACTCAAGCAAGAATCAGCAGAAAATCTTTTGGAAGATTTCATCATTTTGAATCCGTCAAAGATAAGGTAATTATTTTTCGGAGAAGATTCAGCTGATGAGCCGATATGTATGACTTTTGAAGATTTGTCAGGTGAGGATTTTCAAACTCACTGTGGAAACCCATCTCTTGCATTAAATCACCGCAATGCAAGTTGGCAATAATGTGTAGCTAATCAAAATGAACGATCAAGATCAACTGATGCTACTACGGTAATATAGCTTCTTCAGCTATATATACCAAGAAGACTTGAAGACATGAAGTAGAGAAGGCAAGGGAATACAAAGAAAAGCAAAATTCAAAAATATCCATTTTGAGCTTACACGAGAGATTCTTCAAGTCATTAGAAGAGAAATTTGTTTTCTCTTAATATTACCTCTACTGTGTGTAGAAAGAGGGTTGAATGTAGCTTTGTGCAAGACACTACCCTGTTGAGTGTAGCTTTGTGCGAGACACTCGTGAGTGTAGCTTTGTGCGAGACACTCGTGGTTGCTGAGTGTAGCTGTGAGCGAGACACTCGGTGGTGCTAAGTGTAGCTGGGTGCAAGACACTTAGTTGGTGTAGGAGTATAGCTTTGTGCAAGATACTCGGGGGTATAGCTTTGTGCGAGATACTCGGGATTGAGTGTAGCTTTGTGCAAAACACTTGGGAAGTGCCTGTGTGCACTTGATTCACTATTTGTATCTGGGTGAACGAGATAGTGAATTTCCTCCTTGGAGTGAAAGGAGAAGAGTGGACTAGGAGGATTACACCACATCTGAACCACTATAAATTGCCTCTCTCGCATTTACTTACTGCTTTATTTATTATTGCATGCATACTAACCCATTTACTATTCGTCTTATTCATTTATCTTATTGATTGGGTTATGTGACATTACAAGTGCATGCAGACACAATTCCATTTGGATTCATTCATTGATTCACACGTGACATTGCATACATATTGAGTGAATCATCTCTTAAATATTTTGTTGTCTTGCATGTTGAATATTTGACTGACCCATCTTATATTGTTCGTAATTATTCATCTGGGTTTAGTAGTTTTGACGTATGCATGTGAGCATAAATTTGCATACTGATTATTTGAGTCATACCATGCATATCCATCATATTGCATGTGATATATCTCTTTGATTTTACGTAACACTTGGTTGTTTTAATTATTCCGCTGCGCATCTAAGTTTCATACCTTGTTACTTAGAGTTGAAATTACCAAAGTGTTATTAAGTGTGAAAAAGTTTAAAAAGTCTATTCAACCCCCCCCCCCCCCCCTCTAGACTTTTTACCACCATATCGGGACCAACAATTGGTATCAGAGCGGGTTGTCTATTTGGGTCAAATTGTCTCTGACTGATACCAACAATTGGTATCAGAAGCTGTTGTCTATTTGAGTCAATTTTGACTCCTAGACAGATCCCGAAAAATCAAGATGATGAAAAGAGATATGGCTCTTGCCCAAAATTTATTATTTTCTCTAGAAAAATTTGATGATTGGAAAATTCGCGTGCAGGTACATTTATCTGCACTACATGATGAAATATGGGAAGTAATCACTAATGGTCCAATTGAAATCTTGCAAGTAAACACTGCATCCGTACAAACAAGTGATACACCACAGTATGTTCCAAAGCCTAAAGTGGAATGGACTCGTGAAGATAGAACACGAAATAACTTGAACAATATTGCCAAGGATATTTTGTTCAAATCTATCGATGATACGATATTCCCAAAGGTTCGAAAATGCCAATCAGCAAAAGAAGTTTGGGAGACACTCATCCAAATTGGTGAAGGAGACGAACAGGAAAAGGATAATAAACTCACCATAGCATTAAAGAAATTTGAGGATTTCAAAATGCTAAGCGGCGAGAATATTACCGACATGGAAACAAGATTTGCTAAAATCTTGGGAGAAATTAATGATCTTGGAAAAGACATTAATCAAAAGGAAATCTCACTCAAAATCCTACGTGGTTTACCGTTAAGTTGGGACATGAAAGTCACTGCCATGCGTGATCATAGAGATCTAAAGACTCTATCAACTGATAAGCTTTTTAGTGATCTAAAAGCCTATGAGTTTGAAATGAAGTCAAGGACGGAGGAAGAACACGAAGAAAAGAACAACGCACTAGTTTCCGAACAACCGTCCACGTCAAGGTCAGTTGATAATAGTGAATTATTAAATAACGAAAACTTTGCTTTGTTTGTCAGGAAATTCAAGAGGTTCATGAGGAAAAACAATCACAAAAGTTTTCCTAAAGCAAGCAAATCACGAAGGCATAAAAAGGAAACCTTGGAGGACAATTCGAATTTATGCTACAACTGTAGAAAACCTGGACACTTTATGGCCGAATGTCCTTATCCCAAGGTAAGCAAAAATCAATCTAACACCATGCAGGAGGAAACCAAAGTCAAGGATAGGAGATTCAACAAGAAAGACAAAAGAAAAGCTCTTATCAGTGATCCACTAGAAACAAGTGAGTCTGAGGAATCTTCTAGCAACGAAACTGACAGCTCTATAGATGATAATTCACTATTTAGAATGAGCATGTCAAGCAATTCAAATAGTGAAGATCTATGTCTTATGGCACACGAAACAGATGATGATGAGGTAACTTCTAAATCTTTTGATTCTGTAAGTTCATCTTTTTCTAAAGAGTCTATCTTTCATATGATGAAGGATTGTCAAACCATGATGGACACTTACTCGCAAATCAAGGAGCGCAATAATTTACTGATTCTTGAAAAAGATCAACTAAATGAAAAATTGCAAAATACTCTATCTGAGATACGAGACTTGAACGACGAAAATATTCGACTTCAAGAAGAGTGTAAATCAAGGGAAGTGAGAGAACACAACCTAAGGGAAGTTATAGCAACATTTACTCATTCATCCAAAATAATGGATAAAATGGTAAATATGCAAAAATCCTCAGGAGATAAAACCGGACTTGGTTATGATCCATCGTGTTCTCAAGCCTCCGAGAAATTGACCAATTCTACTACTGCTTTAAATAATAAAGTTCAAGTAGTAAAATTTGTAAAAGGTCAAGATAGCACAATGAGACAAGGAATTGGTTATCAAGCTAATGCCAAA